GAAGATATTTAAATAACAAAGAGCATAGAAAGCAAAGCACTCAACTAACATTCTCTTTGAGTAATCTTAGTACCTTGTTGACTAATCTCCTGTGTTCCTCTATATCTTCCATGAAGATCAGGATACCATCCAAGTATACTACTACTTTGCCTGTTCAAATAACATGTTCTAGGACATCATTCATCATGTGTTGGAATGTTGCTGGCATGTTGCAAAATCCAAAGAACATTACTGTTGGTTTGAACAGTCCTTCTGGCATAAGGAATGCAGCCTTTTCTTCATCTCCTTCTCTGATTCTCACATTATTGTAACCCCAGTGCAAATCTAGTTTCATGAAGATTTTTGCTTTACTGAGTTTATCAATTAGATCTCCAATATGTGGAATTGGAAACTTGTTTTTCTTTGTAACTGAATTTAAAGCCCTGTAGTCTTGCACTAATCTGAGTGATCCATCTTTCTTCTTGACAAAGAACACTGCTACTGCTGTTGGACTCTTAGATTTTCTGATATATCCTTTGTCTAAGTTCTCGTGTATCCATTTTCAGAGTGAATTATCTTCAGCTGGGATAAGACGATGCTCTTTTGCTGACTTGGGAAGTTCCTTGCCCTCCTCTATGTCTATCGTGTGATCATAGGGCTTTTGTGTGGGCATCCATTCTGAGGACTTCTTACTAAAGACTTGCAAATAATCTTTGTAATGCTTGGGTACTTATCCTTCTTTAATGTCTTGAACTTTTTTGTTATCTGCAATATTTCTGATTATGGAAATTGTGTCATAATTTTCCTCTGTAATCTGGACCCAGTTCACTTTAAGTCCTCCTGAGTTCACAATGTTTTCATCCTTGAGATGTTGGGTCATCTGGAAAGCATTGGGCAGTTCATCTTTGTACAGTAAACCAATCTTGTGTGCTTCCTCATACTGTACTGACACTAAATAATGTTTCTGATTGGTTAATCCACATTTTTCCTTGCATCTAGTCATGTCCCATGTTCCTGCAGTCCAATCAATCTCAGGGTTATGTTGTCTCAGATAACTCATTCTAATTATCACGTCCTTGTTCCCTAGGTCTGTTACCAGACATACATGATGACTTTCATGATCACCAATCTTGATGAATGCTATCACCATGGTATTGATCTTTCCTCCCTTATTTGGAGATCCATCTGTATTAATTACTGTGAAGGGGTGAGGTAGATTCTCTTCAAATAGCTAATTTTCTTGAACAAATTCCTTGTTGATGAATGTTGAAAATGCTCCTGAATCGACTAGTGCTTCAACTGCTACTGTTCTGTTTCCTTTCACTAATTCCTTCTTCATCTGCATGAATTTATCTGTAGACTTGATCTTCTGAATGTTTCTCCCCAGGTAATTGCTTGGATAACTGGGAGGTCCATGTACCACCAATGTCTGTTCCAGAAAATGAATACTATCATGCAATGCAGGAAGACTACTAGGGATTTGTCCTAAGCAATATTTAATATTGGCCTAAAAGCTGGAGAGTACTGGTCCAACTGACTCTGATCTCCTAGTCTTAACATGTGCTCAACTACTCAACTATATTGTCCTTCTCTGGCAAAGTGCTCCCCTATATGTTAAGGGACCTGACGACTGAGGATCAGGAGTTCAACCGATAACTGTTACTGGGACTTATACATGCTAGACTAACATGCTACACTGGTACTAGACTTGTAGACTGAGCCACTATAGCTGATAGTGGTTTGAGAACGTATACTGGCTGAAGTAGACCTCAGACTAAGACTAGAATAGACAACTGAGTCTATTACTGAAGATGTCCCTATGAAGGTATGTAGTGAACAAGAGGACAAAACTGAAGTATAGTAGCGCAAGTAGAGCTGCTTTAATAGAAACAGGAAATAGAAGTTTAATAAGTATGAAACACTGAGTTGGATCAGTGATGTACATAAAACAGTTTCACTGGGTTGTATCAGTGATGAGGGTGAAACATGATATAGGTGAAATGCAATAGATATGAAACAATGATGCAGGTGAAACACACCAAGTGATGGAATCAGTTGTAATAGTACAGGGTCAACAACAAATGGTAAGGAAAAAGAAAGAACCTCCCTCTCTAGATTCATTGTTTACAGTTTCCACTATGCATGTCATTCCTGCAAATAACCTGGCTCCTCAATAGGGCAGGGAGATTGACCTGGTTAAACATTGATCTCTGTTTGGAATTTGTGATGAGGGTGGAGGAGTCCACAAGAGGAACATATCCAATGCCAGCACTCACTCTGTAGATGACCATTGACTTCACATTTGGTACAGAAACAAAGGCATCAAGGCATACTGCCAGAGGGAGGAGTGATGATAGAGAATTTGTGGCATTCAAGTTGTTCTTCTAGGTTGGCAGCCTTGAGGTGTGTTTGACATTGACTCATTTCTTCTTCTGTGCAAAGGAGCTTGGCTCCTATGGATTGTTGTGCCACAAGGAGTAGATCAATTTTTGTGTTGACAGCCCTAATTCAATCAACTTTATTGGTCACTCCAGGATCCCTAATGTCTTGCAGCAATGCCCAGAGACTTTCTAATAGGTTGTCATCTTGTGTCAGCAGATATTCCCAAGTGTCCTCTTCCCATTCCTTGTCTGAGGAATTCCAGTTTCCGATGGGATTGGTGGTGCAAAGTGCTGCTGCTGTTATAGTGTTAGAGGGATGCTCTTCTTCTTTTCCTAACCATTCATTGTTGACCCTGTAACTGTATAACTGATC